TGGCGCAGCAGGCCTCTCCTGTCTCACCTGCTGCTCCCCTCAGCGATGTATTTCGTTGGGCTGCCTGTTCTGCTCCCCACTCTGTCTCTGGTGAAGCCTCTCACCGCCCCTGAACCTCTGGCCTGCACCCCAGTTCTGTATGCACAAATAAAAATAAATCTTTAAAAAATATATATATATATAAAAAGGTTTGAATAGAACTTTCACCCAGGAAGACATGCTAGCTAATAAACACATGAGATGGTGTTCAATATCATTAATCATTAAGGCAATGCAAAATAAAAATATGAGATACCCCACGGCTGCTAAAATGGCTATAGTCAACAAAACCGAGAATTGGTGAGAATGTGGAGAAATTGAAGCCCCTGTTCCAGTGACATCATATGATGGGAAGCCACTTTGGAAGTTAAATTTACAATGTGATTAGCCTTAGGGGTATACTCATGAGATTGAAAAATTATATCCACATGAAGACTTGTGTACAAATACTCACTGCAGCATTAATAATTTCCCCAAATTGGAAGTAGTCCAGATATTTGTCATCTTGTGAATAAATAAAATGTACAATGTGCACCCAATAGAATATTATTCAACAGCAAAGCACCGTAAAATACCAGTAAATGGGTGAACCTCCAAAGCATGATGCTAAGTGAAAGAAGCCAGATACAGAAGACTGCATGCTACATCTTATATGATTCCATCTTTAGTAAATTTTCAGGAAAGGCAAATTTACAGAATCAGAAAGCAGATAGTGGTTTCCTGGGCCTGGGGAGGTGGGAGGGGACAGAGAGACAGACTGCAAGTTAGGTGGGAGGAAATTTTTGAGGTGATAGCAAAGTTCTAAGACCAGATTGTGGTGATTGCACAATTATAATTTACTAAACACCACTGAATGGTGTACTTAATAATGGGTAAATTTTAGGGTATGTAATGTGTATCCTTCAGTAAGTTTGTAAAAACCTGTAAAGGGGGGAAGTGTAGGGACAGATGAACCCTCTTTGCATAAGGCACCATGGAGGGGCAGAAAATTGCTCCTGACTGAGCATTTTCTCTTTGCCAGATGTGATCTTGTTTCAGATCCATCCAATAAATTGATATGGAAGCTGGCCTCTGCACTCACATAACTCTTGTGGGCTTTCTAAAAATGTAACATTTCAAAAGGTCGAAATATTCAATTGTGTGCTTCATAGAAGAAGATAAACCCAGACTCTCCGCTGCAATGAGGATGCCATTAGAAGGGATGGGGTGTGAGTGACAGAGACTATCAATCAGGCACAATCACACTGCTGTTAGCTCTAGCTCACAGAGGAAAATTTAGACCTCTAGAGCCTGAAATTCCCACTGTAGAGATGACCTTCAACTGTCCAGCCCCTTCTAACAAGAGCTTTGGGTCCCCTCTCTCTCTGACTCAGGGGTGCCTGTTGGTACTTGTCCCTCAGTCCCAGATTGTACTATCCTGTTTCTTCACCAGCCTACCAACTTCTCTCCAGAGTTTGCAACTTTTCCTTACATCAGGACTTCATGTACCCCTGGACATTTGATTAGGAAAAGGACATTTTAAATCCTGGAGTGATACTCCTGCCCATGTCTGACTGATACCTGAAATGGTACAGACATCGAGAATTTGCTTGGATTAACCAGGAAAGAATCGTTTGTGTAAAAATGAAGCAGTGCATGGTACAGCCCCTTGCTGTTAAGTATTAAAAGTAGAGTAGCTCTTGGGGGTATGGCTGGGGGTTGCTCCCCAAATGCCCTGGGCTGAGTTTCAAGGGACCTGCTCTCTTCCCTCCTAGAAAGAGATGACTCTCCCTTTCGCCAGAGGTCTGTAAATTCTTTCCCAGACTGGATAGGCTTTTACATAAAATTTAGATATCTGTATTGTCATCATTGAAGGCTAATTTAAGCCAATCTGACCAATCACATTTAGCTTTATTTTAGTAAAAATTGGTAGTATCCATTAAGTAATGTTAAATGAAGATTGTAGATATCTCCAAACCTAGCTACCAGGTGTATATTAACAACAAAAGAAACATTTTGCTTTACCAGGTATGCTATAA